AAGACGTTTATCAGCGATCATCATATAAACAATATTGCTCGTCTCCTGGCACCATGTAGCTACCTCTGGGTGTGGTTAACTCTGCCTGTGATCTAAATGTCATGACACATCATTAAATTTAGTTTATTTCAAAATTCCTCATCATGGGATATGTGCTCCACACAGGCTCCACGGACACTGCTAAAAGAGAAGCAATGGAATAGCCGCATCCTCTGCAAATCCAACATACAGAGAATTAAACTACTTACTTGACAAGTCTGTGTCCACCAGACACAGAGTCTGGCAGACTTTTTCATAAAACCTGGATCTAAAGGTTCTCACTGACCGCTAATCTAAAGAAAAATATCACAGCCACTTACGTGACGACAAAAAAAAAAAAAAAGATAAGACAGTGGCTGCAGGAAAAAGTCAGGGGATCTGACCTCTGTGTGCCAACAGATTTCGGAGGGTCACATAAAACATGGGAAAAACTACTCAGTAAACACTCACATAAAGTTTATAGAATGTGGCTGGCAAAAATCTCAGAGGGGGATAAGAAAAGAATGGGAGTGGTTTATTTCAATTCCTGCCTTCTATTTCTGTCCATTAATTACGTCAGGAAAACCACTGAATGAACCAGAGCCATTCATTTTGTTTCCTATTGCCATTTGGCATGGTAAAAACCCCAGACACAACAGCTTCCAAGTGCTTAGCTGCAGGAATCTGGACAGCCAATATTTTCTCCATAGTAGTTCAGGATCACGATATTGTTTGGCACACACTGTCTTTTGGGACACTGAGACATTACAGATCTCAGGGTGAGGACAGGCAGTGTTACAGTGGATCTTACTAATATTCTAAAATCTACAATTAAAACTAGGCACCAGAAAAAAATAATCCCTCATAATCACTATGAGGATCTCTAATTCAACAAGTAACTTGTTCACGGCCCACAGGGGCTAAAGGAATATCAATATTAAATGATAAAAACAAAATAGGGAAAACTTCAGCCTTTCCAATTCAAAGTTCTGCATTCCCATGTCAAGGATACAGCCAAAGCTCTGTGCAAGATACCATTTATATTTTCATGCAATACTCCAGGGCTGCATGCTTTGACAGCTCGGGCTCTCGGTTGGCTACAGAGAAATCTCAGTTGGCCTCTGTTCTTGATCTGATCCTATTCCGTGATGCTGAACACCATCACACTCTGTCACTCGTTTACAGCTGTACCAGAACCTGACTCTGGGATGGCAGGGGTACTTACAGAAACCTGCAGCGCTGCAGTGTATTAAACAATCCATACGCAGACATCATTTTATAAGCAATGTTTCTAACACATCATCCTCCTTACTTCCCTCATGCTCTGCCTTCAGTGAGGGAGACTCCCATACAGGAAAAGTGATGGAGAGGAAATTTCTTTGAAGCAGCAAGTGAGTATTAAGAAGTCTTACAAGAGCTTTTGGTTCTCCTATAGGTTTACAAAAATAAAAAGTTCTAGAAAAGCAGCTCTATGGGCAGAGCACAAGGATGGGAACCGGGAGCTTTACAGTTATTCCCAGGTGTGCCCTAGACTTCTGGTTGATGGTGGGCATCCCTGCACACGCCTGTGTCCTAAATGAGCAGGCTCCACCGTGGTTACCCACCGTCAGCCTCAAGCTCTCCAGATGTGAAGCTTGACATGAGAGCAGTGTTGTCTGTGGGTGAGGGATTATTCTCATCTGCTCTTTTCAGGGCCTAGATTCACACCTCCTGGAGGTGTGACTCCACCGAAATGCTGTCCCTAAGAATAGTGCTTGTCAAGCCACAGTTACACAAGTCCAGATCTGGCGGATAAGCTGTTACTTTGGGGGTGTTTTCAGAAGCCCGTCTGTGACGTCCAACCGCAGGCAAACACTCAGCAGATGGCTCCTACCTTTGTTCGCTGAGCAAACAAATCATCTCCTCATCATAAAAGTCACTGGAAATAAGAGATGCTGCTGCTTTTGTGGCCAGATTACAGAGGCTAAAGGGTGGTACCAGAAAAGGCAGGGTACGGCAGTGTATCGCCCATCTGAATTTATACCCCTGGCTCAGCGACGCCTTCGTTTCTAGCAGATGGACAATGTGGCTCCAAGAAAATCTCAGCAACGCCTTGGCCGTGCTTCAGGCAGGTGTTGTGCCATGACACCTGGCAATCTCACCGGTACCTGTGTAGCACAAGGTCCAGACTGACGAAGCAGCTGAGAAGCAGAGGTGGCTTTCCCGGGCGCTTTGATGAAGCCTTGCGAGGAGGTGGCGGGAGCGCGATTCAAGGGCACTTGGCTTCACTGTGGCAGTGCACTCTGAACACGCGCAGCCGCCTTGCACGGAAGTGTGGCCACAGGGCTGTGAGTGTGCTCGAGGACGTATTTAATGATCGTGTGTAACAGGGCAAGCGGTGCCACAGGGGCTGTGCTTTCATGGGTAGGACAGCATAGCCAGACTAGATCAGTTTTAAGCCTACCACGTTCACTGCCTTATTCCTGATGGTGGGCAGCAGCCCCAACTCAACAGAAGACTGAGAAAGGCCAACAGGATGGGGTTCATCTGGTCCCTTTAAAGATCTCATCCTGACTCCCAGAAGTAAAAGACTGGTTGAACTCCAGAAATAGAGAGGTCTATAACCAACCTACACTCCTCTTTATTTTTTCTTTTTTTTTTTTTTTTAATTCTTTTTTTAACAGTTTTGGGAATTCCTTACATATGTAACTTCCTTCACCCCCTCCTGGCAGCAACAATACAGTGACTTCCAGGATCCTCTCACATGTTGAGTATTCCAGGAAAATCTCTAGAAAAATGTGGTCACTGTTTTTCTTCGTGATTCTCTACCATGCTTTGTGCCTGGAGTCGTTCCACGACAGAGCTGTTTATTTGTGTAACATTGCTGTGATGTGTCCTCATCAAGGCGCTGCAGAGGAGGGCACAGAGGCAGATGGAGGTGGCACAGCTTGATGGCCTCACACCATTGCTCACAGACAGACCAATGCACGGGATTTAGAGGGCTTGTCTTTTAGTCATCTCCTTTGACTACATTGTCTCCTCTTCGTGCTCAGCTCAGTACCTGAAGCCACTGCCAGCAGGGAGAAGAAGCAAAAGGGAGGGCAGAGCACTGCTGAGTGGTGCAGAGGAGACAAATTCCAAACCATTGTACCCTGTTCATTAAGGCCTTACAGAACCAGACTCCCAACCCGTACGGTATGAGTTTTGTCTCCATGAGGTTTAAGATAAGAAAAAGAATGGAGGACTCGATCCAAAGAGAGTCTATGGACTTCACTGCAGATCATGTCTGGCATAGCTTAGCCTTTCTGTGCCTGACAGGGCCCTGTTATGTCTCAATGGCCTTAACCTCACCTGGAGCTTCCATCCACAACCCCTGTCTGGGGCTCAGGAGCTCCACCTAAGTCCAGCTCTAGGTCTTCTGTCCTTGCCTGAGCTACGTTGGAGAAGTATCTGTCTCCAGCCTAACATTTGGCCTTGTCTCC